TTCTGCAGTCTTTCATCTTGCATAAAAATAAAGCACGTGTGAGATACCAAAATCAAATTTTCCAAAAGATAGGAAAGAAGCTGGCACTGATTACATAAGCACGGCCTCCCTCCCAGTGACTCTGCTGTTGTCTCTGGTGCCACAGCCAGTCTCTGTGCATACATCCAGTGGTGGCCTCCTGACCACAGTGTGTGTGTGGCTTGGAGCAGATGGCTGGGGCAGAGTGCTAGGCATCCCTCTGCCTGACTTCTCATCCAGACCCCGCTATTCACTATTTCTATAACCTCAGGAACATTACCACATCTCTCCAGGCCTTGGCTTTATGAAAAATAAATACGAGTAAGTGCTCAATAATCGCTAGCTAGCTTCGTGACATTAGGTGTAGGGTTCTGTATGGGCCTCTATGTATCTTGGGACAGAATTAGTCTCCATGTCTTATCTAGCACTTCTTTGCAATAGGGGAATAACACTTCACATTTTGAAGTACTTGGACCCACATCTGTTGATATTTTGTCCAATTGAATGTTAATTAAATGATGCTTGCTTAACAGGTGAGGTGATACAGTACATTTACAGCCAAATGTCAATCTAAAATGACTACAGTAAGGGGGCGGCCAGATGGCTTAGTCACGTAAGTTTCTGACTCTTGATTTCAGCTCAGATCATGATCTCACGGTTGTGGGATCAAGCCCCACATCAAGCTCTGTGCCGAGCATGGAGCCTGCTTAAGATGTTGTCTCCCTCTCTCTCTGCCCCTCCTCCTCTAGTACTCTCTCTCTCTCTCTCTCAAAAATAAATAAAAAAGCATTAAAAAATAAAGAGACAAAAGAGACAAAATGACTACAGTAAGAAGTTTCAGCTAGCTAGATATAGGGGAGAGGATGAGGGAGGAGTTTCTGCCTCATGCAGTGGGTGGACGATGGTACTATTTGCCAGGCAGGGATCACAGGGGAATGCTCCTCACACCGCTAGATGATCAGTCTCCTTGTTTTATTGTGCTTCGCTTTATTGCACTTCGTTGATTTTGTGTCTTTTTACAAATTAAGGGTTTGTGGCAACCCTGCGTCGAGCAAGTCTATTGGCACCATTTTTCCAATAGCATTTGCTCATGTGTCTGTGTCACATTTGGGTAATTCTTGCAAAATTTCAAGCTTTTGCATTATTATTATATTTGTTATGGTAACCTGTGGTAAGTGATCTTCGATGTTATTATTATAATTGTGTTAGGGCGCCAAAATGTAATGATTAGGTTAATCAAGGAAGGCAAGTCAAAAGCCGAGATAGGCTGAAACCTAGGTCTCTTGCACAGTAAGCCAAGTTGTGCATGCAGAGGAAACGTTTTTGAAGGAAGTTAAAGGTGCTATTCCAGCCAACACATGGATGATAAGAAAGCAAAACTGATTTACTGCTGATCTGGAGTAACTCTGAGTGGTCTGGAGAAAAGATCAAACCAGCTGTAGCGTTCCCTTTAGCTGAAGCCTCGTACAGTCAGGCCCTACCGCTCTTCAAATCTTCAGTTCTGTGGAGGCTGAGAGAGGTGAGGAAGCTGAAGAAGACAAGATGGAGGCTAGCAGAGGTTGGTTCATGAGGTTTAAGGGAAAAAGTCATCTCCATAACATAAAAGTGCAAGGTAAAGCAGCAAGTGCTGATGTAGAAGCTGCAGAAAGTTCTCCAGAAGATCTAGCTAAGATAATTGATGAAGGCAGCTACACTAAACAGATTTTCAATGTAGACAAAACAGCCTTATAGTGGGAGAAGATGTCATCTAAGACTTTCATAGCTAGAGAGGAGAAGTCAATGCCTGTCTTTAAAACTTCAAAGGAAAGGCTAACCCTCTTTGTAGTAGCTAATGCAGCTGGTGACTTTAAATTGAAGCTAATGCTTGTTTACCATCCTAAAACTCCTAGAGCCCTTAAGATTTATGTTAAATCTATTCTGCTTGTGCTCTATAAAACCACAAAGCCCAAATGACAGCACATCTGTTCACAATGTGGTTTACTAAACATTTTAAGCCCACTTTTGAGACTTACTGCTCAGAAAAAGGATTCTTTCAAAATATTACCACTCATTGACAATGTGCCTGGTCACCCAAGGGCTCTGATGGAGATGTACGTGAGATGAATGTTGGTTTCATGCCTGCTAACACAACATCCCTTCTGTAGCCTGTGGATCAAGGAGTAATTTTGACTTTCAGGTCTTCTTATTTATTATAATAAGATTTATTATAGAAATATCCATTTTTATAGTATTTCTTATAGACATATATTGTGTAAGGCTTTAGTTGCTATAGACAATTCCTCTGATGGATACAGAGAAAGTCAATTAAAAAATTCCCAGAAAGGATTCACCATTCTGGATGTCATTAAGAACATTTGTGATTCAATAGGAAGAGGTTGAAAATATCAACATGAACAGGAGTCTGGAAGAAGTTGATTCCAACCTTCATGGATGACTTTCAGTAATTCAAGAATCGAGTGGAGGAAGTCACTGCAGATGGGGTGGAAATAGCAGAGAACTAGAATTAGAAGCGGAGCCCGAAGATGTGACTGAATTGCTACCATCTCATGATCAAAGTTGAATAGATAAGGAGTTGCTTCTTATGAATGAACAAGGAAAGTGGTTTCTTTGAGATGGAATCTACTCCCGGTGAAGATATGTGAAGATTGTTGAAATGACATAATGGAAACAGCATGATTTGAGAGGATTGACTCCAATTTTGAAAGAAGTTCTACCGTGGGTCAAATGCTATCAAACAGCACTGCATGCTACAGAGAAATTGTTTGTGAAAGGAAGTGTCTATTGATGGGACAAACTTCATCGTCTTATTTTAAGAAATTGCCACAGCCACCCGAGCCTTTAGGGGCCACCATCCTGATCGGTCAGCAGTCATCAACATCAAGGGAAGACTTTCCACCAACAAAAAGAGTATGACTTGCTAAAACCTCAGATGATGGTTAGCATCTTTTAGCAATAAAGTATTTTTTTGAGTTTATTTATTTATTTTGAGAGAGGCAGAAATAGCATGAGTGGGGGAGGGATAGAGAGAGAGAGGGAGAGAGAGAGAATCCCAAGCAGGCTCCGCACTGTCAGCACAAAGCCCAATGCAGGGCTCGAACTCACAAAATCACAAGATCATGATCTGAGCCGATACCAAGAGTCAGACATTTAACCACCCGAGCTACCCAGGTGCCCCAGTAATAAATTATTTTTAATTAATGCATGTGCATTGTTTTTTTTTTTAGACACAATGCTTTTGCACAGTTAATAGACTACAGAATCCTGTAAAACTAACTTTTGTATGCCCTGGAAAACTGAAGAATTCGCTTGACTTGCTTTATTGCTACATTTGCTTTATTGTGGTGGTCCGGAACTGAACCCACAATATCCCCAAAGTATGCTTGTATTTGAGGAGCTGTTGAGTTTCATGTGTCCATGGAACATCTAAAAGAGATGTCTCATTTGAGGCTGGACCTTGGGAGAGAAACCTAAGGGCTAGCAGGTTATAGGTAAGAGTTGCCAAGTCTTTGCACCTGCCAGTCCTCCTGTCCAGAAGACTCTCCAGCTTTGCTCCCTGTCTCCCTAAGATCTTTGTTCAGATGTCACCTTTGCAGGAGGATTCTCCTGGCCCCCCAAGTTTAAGTGGCAATTGCCTCCTACCAAAGTACTTCTCGTCCACCTTCTGTGTATCACATTTTCCCCATAATACATAGCAGTATCTAAACTACTATCTAAAACTACCATTTTACTTACCTTTACATATTTATTTCACTTATGATGTTCTACCTATTAGCGTGTAAGCTCCATCCATGTGGGCTGGGGTTTTTGTCTGTTTTGCTTACTTCTGTATGCCCAGTTGCTATAATGGGGCCTGGTACATAAAAGCACTCAACAAATGGTTGTCAGGTGAGACATTGAGCCCTTACGTATGCCTGACACTCAGTACTCTACTGTTGAAATGACACAAAGGGTTTCGAATATCACATAAACTTAGTTGATAAAGAAGCAGCAGGATTTGAGAGGATTGACTTCAATTATTTTTTAAGTTTATTTCTTTTGAGAGAGACAGAGAGAGAGTGCCAAGCAGGGAGGGGCAAAGGGAGAGGGGGGCAGAGGATCTCAATTAATCTCAATTCATCTTTGTATGTTGGATCTCAAGTAAACTAAATTTAGGAGATGCAGCTTTATAGCTGGTACCAAGAGCCAGGAGGATGCATGAGATCTGTAGGGAGAGTGTTTAATGAAAAATGACAGGGGACCTATGACAAAGAAATAAAGCATATCATCCTTTTAGACATGGGCAAATTTGGAAATGGACCCTACATCGAAAAGCAAGAAAAGCCAGTCAGAGCAGGAGGAAACACGAGCTGCTGTAGAGCAGACAGACAAATAGGGAGGAAATGTCCAAAGTTGTCAGATGCTACAGAGAAGTTGGCTTAAGTAAGAAGCAAAAAGTGATCGAGAGAGATTGTCTGTGTAGTCTTGCCACCCTGTGTGCTGCCCCTGATTCAGATTCACTGCTGGCAAGTCTCTTACCAAAGTGGGTATTGTTATATAATAACTAATTATATCATAATTGCTTTTATTACTATCTCCTCTGATAAAGCATACTGCAAGGATATAAACAGCAGAGTTTACTTTTAAGCAAAAGGTTGATGATTAATCTACAGTTCAGTGGTTCCCAGACTTTGGAATGTCATGAACTGGTGACATTTGAGGGAGGGGAATGGGCCTCTGAAATATTAGGTTGCCTGCCTCACAGTCAGCTGGTCGTCGTGCTCAATTCAGATAGGGCAGTCCATCCATGGGAAGTGAAGAAATTAAGAATCATTTAGGAGGCATGAAGCCCAGACAAGAAGATCACTTGTGTTGGTTTGACTTGTAGTCTTCATTGCAAGTCAGAAATCTTTTTGGAAAAGGTGTGACTTATGGTCCTTTGCCGCCAACGACTTGCCCCATAGTGGACACTCTTACCATTTACCATTACATTTACCGTGACTCACATTTCTGAAAGTCTGGATTGAAGCAGAGAAAGCGCTGTCCCCAGTGGTGCCAAGGAGTAGCCTGAGCAGTTTTTAGCACCTTTGACTAGTAATCTCCATCAACTTCCCCACCCCGTGCCACAAATAAATATACAGTCATATAATCTCAGTTTTAAAATGTGTTTGTTAGGTCACTGTCAGGCGAATCCCCAGCTGCCCTCCCTGCCCCCCCCCCCTTCCCTCCCACCCACGACACACACACCTGGCACTGGGCAGGTGAGAGTCTCCGCGATGTGGTTGTCTGATGTTGGTTGTTAATGGAGTAAAGCTTTCAAAGGAGGAAATTACTAACAGGATGGAAGTAACTTTAAAAAGGAGCCTCAACAAAGGAGGCTTTTTTCCAGGGCCAAGTCTGCCTTCGGCGATAGAGCAAATTAGGCATTCCTTTTGCTTCTGACAGTATTTCGAAACTGGATAGCCTCCCTCAGTTATGGAGAGTACAGCTACTCATTCATTATCAGATTGACATTAGCCAGAATATTTTAATGTCAACAAAGACATTTGAATGATTGTTAGCCTAATTATTTCCTATATCCCCTTTGGAAGTTCTCGTGTGTACAAGATTTTAAATAAGGAGTATGTCCAGATTGATTCTTTTTTTTGTTCTTGTGAGAATCCTGAATTTTATCAAGGGTGCAGTCTAATTGAACTTGGAATAAAGCTGTAGTTTCATATTTTCTGGCTAATGTTCCATAAATGTCATAACTTTGCTGTTTAATGGGGAGTGTGTTTTTATGTAATAGATATGCCAAACATTAATGAAGGGAAGAAGAGAGGGAATGACTGAGAAACGCCATCTCAAGCTCAAAAACATCAAAATTAGCAATAAAAATAGAAGTTTCTTAGCTCCAGGAATGGGAGGGAGATAGTCACAGACATAAGAGAAGACACAGCCTGATCCTTGCTTCCAGTGTGCTGGGAGGGGACTCACAGGGTGACCTTGACCCAGCAGTTCAACTGCCTTGTGCCTGTGTTTCCTCCATGTATTCGCGGGGAACTGTAGTGCTCCTTTGCTTAGGTGGTAATGAGGTCTTCAGTGGGCATGGGAGTATCGTAGCAATCCTGCAGTGACATGGCCCTGGGTCCTCCTGTCCCCTAAGGCTTTGGGTACAGACATCTAATTTGGAGATTACTGAGGGGTGTTTGTGGTATCCAGACTCAGCAAATCTGTTCATCGTTAAATGAAAAGGCTTAATATCAACTGGGACTTAACGTAGCAGAACCAGCTTGAATTTAGTTGGAAGTATGAATCAGAGAAGATTTTCAAGAAATGTAGTTTCATTTAAAAGATTTATAGTAACTAGGATCAGGTTAAATCTGGGCTTAATAGCAAATCTTTAAGAAGGTACTTAAACAAATCTTTAAGAATGCCCTGTTTTTAATATATTGTCTCCTTATGCTTCTAAAAGGTATATCTACGGTGAGGATTCTTGGAAAGTACTGTCTTACGTAAATTGAGCATTATTGTACTATTATTTATATTCCTCATTGACTTATTAAATATTTGTTTCAATGTTATATTTTACATACTTTCCAAATCATTCTCAAATTCCTTACTAAATGAGTCCAAATAGATGACATTTTATTACTGTTATCTCTTACCCCAGGTTTTCCCTGCTCACACAGTGTTTGGCAAACATCATACATGTTTGAAAGAATGAATTAGCAAATGAATGAATGACCAAAGGCCATAGATTCAATCTTCACACCCTTTAGCTGGCCTCGCTTTATTCCATGTACAGAGACAGAATCTTGAATACTGACTATCTCTTTAATGCCACCTGCAGAGACCGTTTGTACAGCGTAGGCCACTGTCTTCGTCAGTTGAGGCTGCTGTTCAGAATATATACTGAGTGGCTTATAAACAACAGATATCTATTTCTCACAGTTCTGGAGGCTGGAAGTCTGAGATTTCTGGTGAGATCCCTCTTCTGGGTTGCAGAGTCCCTCCTTTTCATTATATTTGTCTTATGTGGTACAAAGCAGAGAGCTGCCTGGGGTCTTTTTTACAAGGACACTAATCCCATTCATGGGGGCTTCACTCTCATGACTGAGTCAACTCCCAAAAGCCTTACCTCCTCTGCTACCATCACACTGGGGCTTAGGATTTCAACATATGAATTTTGCAGGGACGCAAACATTCAGTTTATAACAGCCACAGAGAAGGCATATTATTCTCTGTGACAAGGGTCTTATTCCAACATGGCAGAGTCTTCTTGCTCACAGTGACAGACCGTAGCACTCTCTTCACATCTGCACATTTAGGAGTTGGAAGGTGATGTGCTTCCTGGCTTCACAGAAACTAGAAAGAGTCTGTTGTGAGTAGTTTTCTCTCTCTATCATATCAGAGCTGTGTCTAGCTCCCAGGGCTTCCCACAATGGGATGAAAAGGCAGTGGGGCATCTGCTGGCCTCCCAAGCCAAGTGAATGGATTGTCCACGGGTGACAAGGTGACCCAAGCATCGTTTCCCTGGGCTCACTGGTCCGTTTCCCATTCTACATCTCTCAGCAGCCCTGTAGCTGTGTGGCACAGGACAAAGTCCAAGGTTTAGGTAGAGAGTGCTTTTTCCCCCGAAGAAAGGCTTATGGCTTTGGGAAGTCAGGGATCTCAGGCTCAAGGAGTCATTTCCTAGCCCGTGTTCTCAGTGTCTCTGTGTCAGTGCATCTTGACCACTCTGTCTTTGCCTTGTTCTGTGCCTCCTCCATCAGGGAGATCCTGCTCATTCACTGAGATTCAGTAGACTCAGATGCCTTCTTAATAAGGTCTTCTCGAAGTTTCTACACAGAGCTAATCTTCCTCTTCTTGTGTTCCCAGTGATACAGATCACATTGGATTCTAGTCTCTGCTTTCGGATCTCTCCCAGAGAGCGAGCATCTGTGGAGAGGGACAGTAAGGGTTGTCATGGGAGGGACACTTCTAATTCACACTACCCCCAGTGCCCAGCATAGAGCGGCTGCCCTCTAGAAGTCTGTGAGTGATCCAAAATCAGGCAATGACCTTATAATCACAGAGCTACTTCCAAACTCTGTTAGCCCTGTTATAAAGATGCGAAGTATTCTACAAGGAATTTCTCAAACGTACACGTAAATTTATTTAGAGTATGGCCACCCTGAGATATGTAACACTGTGGCTGAGAAAATAAAAACAATAACCAAAAGCCATTAAAACACTAGTCACCTGTGTATATTATTTCTGGATTCAGAGCCCAACTGGCCACCTAGAGAATTCTTCCCTGATTGTATTAGACTTATGATTGTCTCCAAACCTTTTTCCAAAAACAAGAAATTCTGTTTCCTGACTTTAAACCCCTCGCTTTTTCAGGTACATTAAGATGAGATTACCATAGCCAGTTCTTTTGTATGGGACTATTCCACAAAACATTTATTGGTTCCTATGAGTTTTTAAGGTGTTAAATCTGATATCCAACAGCTGACTGTGATTATCAGTCTTGGCTCACAAATTGCTCTGCTACATATCAGCATGAGGCTTTCTGGAATCCGAATGATTGGCTGGAGTCATTTCAGATATTCCCAGAATGTCTGAAAACCTTCATTTCCTCAACAATATGCCCAGCAACTTGCATTGTAATCATTTAAACTAATACAAGTGCTAGGGGCGCCTGGGTGGCGCAGTCGGTTAAGCGCCCGACTTCAGCCAGGTCACGATCTTGCGGTCTGTGAGTTCGAGCCCCGCGTCAGGCTCTGGGCTGATGGCTCAGAGCCTGGAGCCTGTTTCCGATTCTGTGTCTCCCTCTCTCTCTCTGCCCCTCCCCCGTTCATGCTCTGTCTCTCTCTGTCCCAAAAATAAATAAACGTTGAAAAAAATTTTTAATAAAAAAAAAAAAAACTAATACAAGTGCTGTTTTTCTTATTGTGTCATTATTGTTACCATGATTTTCTTTTTTTAAATGTTTATTTATTTTTGGTGGGGGGAGGGGCAGAGAGAGAGGGAGACAGAGGATCAGAAGCCGGCTCTGTGCTAATAGCAGAGAGCCCGATGCGGGGCTCAAACTCACAAACCATGAGACCGTGACCTGAGCCCAAGTCAGACGTCTGATTGACGGAGACACCCAGGTGCCTCCCATTTTCTTTTTAAGAGTAGAAGGAATACATCCTGCTTTACTCATGAATGAGTGAGAGGAGAAGGCAGCTGAGCTTCTAATTATCGGGGGTCAGTGTCAGGGTGTGTAGCAAGGAAAAATGTTTATGTTGCCAAGAAGGCTGACTAAGATCCCAGATTGTACAAGGGGAGGAGAATTTTCGTGACTATGCCACCTGTCCCGGAGTCCTGTGAATCCCCAGGTTTTGTGACCTAGAGGCGATTTGGTAAACTGGTGGTTATTTGTGACATGGAGATCAAACTTTGAAAGTCGTAAGTGTATCTTTGTAGAAGATAAGGCCAAAATACCTCGGTGGATAAATGTTAACGATGCACTGAACTGGGAGCTTGGCTTCTTCTGAGCACCTGCTCCATCACAGGCAATGGTGACAACTGTCTCCCCCACACACTGACTGGCTCCTAAAGAATGGTATGAGCATGGTGTAGTCAAGAGACTGTCTGGTTGGGTCAAGGGTTTGTGCAGGCGGGTAGCTTGGAAGGTCTGAGGTTGTCTTCTATTGTCCCCTATGAGATCATGTTAAGTTCAGGCTAGGGCTTTGAGACGCTCACTGCTTTCCTGCTCTCTCAGTAAAACAGAGGGTCTACTTCCTTGTAATCAAAAACCAGTCCCTCCTACCCTCTCAGAAACCTTGCTACCCCTTCCTCCTCCACACCCTGCTCTTTTCCTTTATCTTCAACCTCTCCCTGTCTGCTTTCTCTTTCCCGCCCTCATTAAACATGTGCCAGCCTTTTTTTATCCTTGCCAAACCCTCCCTCCCTTAACCTGGCGGCCACCTCCAACCGCAGCCCTGTTCACTATCTCCATGTTGGCCACAATCTTCTAAAGTGCTGCTCTCACGTACTGCATGTGCCTCCTCACTTCCCTCTTACTCTGTAACCCTCTCCAATCCTGTTTTGATCTTACCACCTCTCCAAAACTACAAAGTCAACAAGATGTTAATGCTTGTAAAGTTAAACATAGCCTCACTCTACAACCCGGAAATCACACTCCCAAGAGAAATGCAAACTTGGGTTCAGACAAAACCTGTATGCAAATATTTGTGACAGCTCTGTTCATTATCGACAAAGACCGAAAATAACCAACATGTCCTCTGACCTATGAACAGATAAATTGTGGTCTAGCGGCACGATGGCAATGGAAAGGAATGAGCAATTGATTCACGTAGGAATCCATAATAA